GTGGTCCCATAAGTTTATAATGGGGCTGAAAAACACCTGTTGCCTGGTAATGTAGTGTCATAGTGAAACACATTATTTACCTGTTTGTGGTGATGCTCGTGTAGACAAATCGACTATGCTGCCAGTCATAAAAGTATAGCATCTAAATTAACTGCAGTATATAATACTTGATAATAAACAACTATGTACTGCTTTATTTACTGCACTATATTGTTTATTGTTATTCAAGAGAGTATTCTTATAAAAAAGGTTAAAACGGCCTCAGGCAGGTCCTTCGAGAAGTGGTCTAGAAAAAGATCTTTTGGGAGATGACACCTCCTTGTGTCATGGAAACAGGATGTGCAGGCCCAAGACAGTGATGTTGATGGTCCTGACTCTGGGCAGCTGTGTAGGTCTAAGCTAATGTAGTGTGTGTATTTGTGTCCACAGTACTGTGAGAGTAATGTCAGTAATGTCCTGTTCAGTGAGTGTTCTGTGCAGTGTACTTACTCGCCTCACTCACCCACCCAGAACAGCTTCCAGTCCTTCCAGCTCTATTCAGGGTAAGAGCGATGTACCAATTTTAAAATCTTTTGTACCGTACTTTTACCGTACTTTTTCTATATCTGGCTGTGTGTAGATACACAAATGCTTACTGCAGCATTCCAGTTGCCTGCAGTTTTCAGGACAGTCGAGTGCTGGACAGGTGTGTAGCCTAGGAGCAATAGGCTGTATCCTAGAGCCTGGGTGTGTAGGAGACCAGACCATCTAGGTCTGTGTAAGTGCACTGCAATGGTTGCACAATGATGAAATTGCCTTCACATTTTCTCAGAGTCCTTTCTTTGTTAAGTGACACATGAAGATACTGGGTTGAAAAGAGGGAAGGTAGGTAGGAAATGGAGACCAGTGGAGACAACTATTTCTGGGTCTTTGATGATGAAGAGGAGGCAAGCATTGGCATTAGAACAGCGTGTGAAAGGCATCGTTCCCTGTTGTCCCCTCATAGTCTGTTTTATATGGAACGTCATTGGGAGGAAATTCCTTCGAGTCCTTTTCTCAGCAAAAGAATCACTGGAGTCCAGGCCCCATGCTCAGAGACTGTGGATTTTAGGCCTGGGGTGGGCATCCAGGTAAACCCAATGCAGTTGTTGCCTAGGCCCACTTAGAGAAGTGCTGCCCTGGAAGCTTTGCGGCATAGGACTCCGGGCGCCTGTTCCTTTGCCTTCCCCTCGCCTGTGCAGGGGGTGCCCAGTACCGGCAGAAGGAAAGGCCAGCAGCGTTGAGAGGGAGGCTGCCTGGCCCTCTGCCTCTCCTTTCCTATCCAGCTCTCTGTGGCTTGCCTCCTGGTCCTGTAGCTCTTCTGTGTTCCTAATTGGCATCATCCTCTGGCCTTTCCCTTTCCTTGAGGGAAAGCTTGGCCTTTTACAGACATCACTATCCAGTGGCAGTGCCTCTCTGTTTCTTGCCAGTGCCCCTCCAGTCACAGGAGCGTTGACATCTGTCCTTAAACTGTTTCCAGCTGCTGGCCTTGTTCTCTCAGCTGTTCTTCAACACTGAAGCCTTGTTTTGCCTGCTTCTGGGTTTGGAGCTCTTCCAGAGGCAGTAGGGTTTCAGAAGGTTGATTTTTTTGCTTTGTAAAGGTTTATAGAAGGAAAAGGACAGTGACATTTAAAGTAGTGTTTTAAAGCTGTGTGGCCTCGAATGTTAGGAAACATTTTCTGTTACCTAATAGCTTCATCTTAGTGATGATTGTCTGAAATGTGTGATATGTTGACACATTTCTCAGAGCAGTCTCTAGTGATTATTAAACAGCCTGAGTTTGTATCTTGAAGAAACATGTATCTGTCCATATATGGAACAAATATTTGTTCTGCTCCCTTTGTGTGGAAACTGCCTGCATGCTTCATTAATCACAGTAATGCATTTTCTCAGGAACTTTAATGTTCCAGGTGTCTGTAGTCATAGCTTTGGAATTGTGATAACATTAGTTGACTTGCTTAGGCTTATAGTCTAATGGATTTATCACACATTAAACCTTTTAGGCAGGCCTTGAAAGGTGAATTGGTAGGCATTTCACACTTCTGTGACACTCAGATTTTGCTCGTCTCTTGGATATAGTCACAAGTGATATGTAAACAAAACTGCAAGCTCAGGCATAACAGCCTGCTTGGCTGAGCACGATTGCAGAAGTGGATGATTTTTCACATTACTCTTAGCTCTTTTCTCTTGGGTACTCAGAGCACAACTTAAAGCATTCTCTCTGAGGTAGGAGAATAGCATCCTGGAGTGTAAGCCCTTGAAGACAGATGTCTGTAAAAGAAATAGTGTTCATTTGGAATTCAGTGAACTGTTTTCTTAATAAAGGAAATTTACCAAGAAAAAGAATTGTACAGTTAAACTGTGCTACACTTGTTTTCATTAAGAAAGGAAGGGCTGGGCACGGTGGCTTACACCTGTAATCACAGCACTTTGGGAGGCTGAGGTGGGCGGATCACCTGAGGTCAAGAGTTCAAGACCAGCTTGGCCAACATGGTGAAACCCTGTCTCTACTGAAAATACAAAAATTATCTGGGCCTGGTGGCACACACCTGTAATCTCAGCTACTCAGGAGGCTAAGGCAGGAGAATTGCTTGAACCCGGGAGGTGGAGGTTGCGGTGAGCCAAGATTGTGCCACTGCACTCCAGCGTGGCAGACAGAGCAAGGCTCTGTCTCAAAAAAAAAAAAAATAGGTAGAAAGAAGACTAACGTTTTCCAAAATAAATGGCCCTCATCTTTATATTGTATATATAACTTTATTATCTTCAGATTATGTGAAACTGTTAGTATTATTTTTATGTTTCTCTCTTTTTTTCTTCTGCGTCTTGAAAGTCAGGTTCCTCTCATCTTATTGTGTACTTTGTATCCAAGATTATTCTATAACTCTTAATGTTGCTGCATTTTATTATTGTACAGTCTATCTAATAGTCCATAAACTTGATGCAGTTAGAGTTCCCTATTATTGGATATAGGATATTTACATTTTTTGCTCTTGTGAATATACTAGAGTACTGTAACGAGTGTGTGTGTGTGTGTGTGTGTGTGTGTGTGTATGTGTACGTGGGGGTGTGTGTATCACCTTTTATATATTTAATTATTTTCTTAGGGTATCCCAGTACCTGGATGGATAGAGGATAGAATTTTTTTTTAATGGTTTTTGATGTAAATTGTCAGATTATTTACCAAAAAATTGTACCAGTTCACAGAACTACCAGTTGGTTTCTTGCAGCCATCTGCTACCGGTTTGTTGGGTTAAAAAACTTTCTGTTTTGACTTGTGAAGGGACAGATATTTATATGTAATTATTAGACTGGCTGCTAGTCCAAGAGCAGTAAGTAGTTAAGGGATCAGGTCAGCAACCAGTGGCCATAGCCATCTTTGACCAAATCAAAGATATAGATTCATATCAGTGTGAAAGCTTTGATTCAGGGAAAATACTTACGTATATACGTAATAGTAGGAGATTGGGATGGTTATAATTAATATGTAGAATATTAACTAATTTTTTTGTTAGAGGTTCTAGAAGACAAGACTTTTCCAGTTTTGTCTTATGCCCCCCCCCCCTTTTTTGGTGGGAGGGTGGGATTCTGGACACTCTAGGAAATTAAAGTGAATATTTTACTAATTCCATGCACAGAAGTTGATTTTCCTTTCTTTTCTTTCTTTTCTTTTCTCTCCTTCTTTCCTTTCCTTTCCTTTCCATTTCCTTTTCCTTTCCTTTTCCCTTTCCTTTCCCTTTTTCCTTTCCTTTCCTTTTCCCTTTCCTTTCCCTTTTTCCTTTCCTTTTTCCTTTCCTTTCCTTTCCCTTTCCCTTTTCCTTTTCCTTTCCTTTCCTTTTTCCTTTCCTTTCCTTTCCTTTCCCTTTCCCTTTCCCTTTCCCTTTCCATTTCCTTTTCCTTTCCTTTTCCTTTTCCTTTCCTTTTCCCTTCCCCTTCCCCTTCCCCTTTCCCTTTCCCTTTCCCTTTCCCTTTTCCCTTTTCCCTTTTCCCTTTCCCTTTCCCTTTCCCTTTCCCTTTCCCTTTCCCTTTCCCTTTCCCCTTTTTCCCTTTTTCCCTTTTTCCCTTTTTCCCTTTTTCCCTTTTTCCCTTTTTCCCTTTTTCCCTTTCCGTTCCGCCTGCCGGAATCTAGCTCTGTTACCCAGGCTGGAGTGCAGTGGCATGATCTCGGCTCACTGCAACCTCTGCCTCCTGGATTCTTGTGATTTTCCTACCTCAGTCTCCTGAATAGCTGGAACTACAGGCACACACCACCATGCCCTGCTAATTTTTGTATTTTTAATAGAGCTGGGGTTTCACCATGTTGGCCAGACTGGTCTCAAACTCTTGACCTCAAGTGATTCGCCTCCCTCAGCATCCCACAGTTCTCGGAGTACTGATATGAGCCATTGCTCCTGGCAGAAGTTGATTTTCTTAAAAAAGAGAGGTAATAGGAGATCAAGTTCAAAAATCTATTTGGGGCCTTATGCAGGATGTTGGTCTTAGCCTGAGGAGAAATAAAAACTGATGAAGCATTGTTAGCAGGGGGATGACTTGATCAGGTTTTTGAAAACTAATGTTCAGCATTGAGGTAACAGAGACATCTGGATATGCTGATTTGGGCCCCTGGGAGCCACAGGAGATCATGGAGATAGAGATTCAATGGGCTGAAATTTTAGTAGCTTTTATGGTGTTGAGGAATATCTAACACTCATTTTTTTTTTTTTTAAACACTGTCAATGTTAAAATATATTTGGTTTGCTTTAGAGAAAGGCACAAATGGGTTCTGAGGCTCTGGTGCGGAAGTTATTTTTGCAGTGTAGGTGCGAGATGAGGGAACCAGCTGTGGGGGGAGATGGGCAAGGGTTTGTGGAAAGGGACTAGAGTGAAATGGTTTGAGAGACATCATATTTGTAAGAGCAACAACAGAAGGTATGGGGGAATACTTTCTATTCAATGCATTTTCTCATTTTCATTATTATTAATATAAGGCATATTTTATATTTCAGATGAATTTACAACTCATTTTCTGGATTGGACTGATCAGTTCAGTTTGCTGTGTGTTTGGCCAAACAGGTAAAAACAAAAAGTTTTCTTAGTTGTCTTTTTATTTCTTTATCTTGTGTCATTCTTTGACCAGTTAGGTTCATGTGAGAACCTAAGTCATATCATATTGCTCCTTCTGGAGGCCCTGCAGTGGCCCCATCTCACTCAGAGAAAGGGCAGGATCCTTCATGGTCAGGCTCCCCTCACCCCTGCCACCCAGGATGACGGGAGGCAGGTTGACTGGAAAAGTACTAAAATGGTAGGGATTGAACACACTGCATGAAGATCTTTTGAGAACGTGAGAGTGAGTAAGTGAACAGAAAGAAGGCAAAGGCATGTAGTACATTTAGAAGCAAATAAAGCAAATGTGTAGAATGGAAGATTATGAGCTGCCCATTATTATCTAAAAAGTAAAAACAGAACAGTTGACTTTCTAGAAGACATTCTCACTCTTTAATAGGAGTGCAGTGAAAATAAAGCTGAAAAGATATTTAACCCTTCTGTAAAGATGTGCTTTCATATCTGGAATAATGGATACTCAGTTCTGTCCTTCAAATCATGTAAAAGTACACTGCATAGAGCAGTTTGATACCAAGATTGGAAGGACTTACTACAACTAGTAAAAATGAAGCAAGAGACCATAAAAGAAAGTATTGATAAATTTAAATTACATAAAATCAAAAAGAACAAAAAAATTATGTGGCAGAACATCATAAACAAAATGAGAAACTAAACAGAGGTTCAACTTCATTAATGTGTGTAGAAATCCAATAAAAACTGAGAAACATAGCAAAACTTTGCAAAAGATATAACAGAAATTATAAAAGCAATGGTTAGTTGTGAGACCTGAAATTGATAGGCTTGACCACTGAATTGATATTCTAATTTACACTTACTTGTTAAATCAGCAACAATTTTTTTTAATATTAAAGCACTTTATTTTGTTGGGAGTGTGGTAAAATGGTATTTGTACACTGCCATTTTGTGGGAGCTTATATTAGTATTGTTGCCCTATGGTATCCATGGGAAATTGGTTCCAGAACCTTCTTCAGATACCAGAATCCACAAATGCTCAAGTCCCTAATATAAAATGGCATGATATTTAGGCCGGGCGCAGTAGCTCACGCCTAAAATCCCAGCACTTTGGGAGGCTGAGGCCAGTGGATCACGACGTCAAGAGATCGAGACTATCCTGGTCAACAAGGTGAAACCCCATCTCTAATAAAAATACAAAAATTAGCTGGGCATGGTGGTGCGCGCCTGTAATCCCAGCTACTCAGGAGGCTGAGGCAGGAGAATTGCCTGAACCCAGGAGGCTGAGGTTGCGGTGAGCCGAGATCACGCCATTACACTCCAGCCTAGGTAACGAGTGAAACACCATCTCTAAATAAATAAGTAAGTAAGTAAGTAAAGAAGTAAATAAATAAGTAAATAAGTAAGTAAATAAATACATACATACATACATACACATGATATTTGATATAACCCACACATACCGTCCTATGTACTTGAAATCTTCTCTAGATTACGTATAGTACCTAATACAATGTCAATGTAGTGTAAATAGTTCTTACACTATATTATTTAGGGAATAATGACAAGAAGAAAAGCCTGTATATGTTCAGTACTAACCCTTTTTTTCTCCCCCAAACATTTTTGATCTGTTGTTGCTTGAATCCACTGATTTGGAAACACAGATACAGAGGGTCAATTGTATGTTACTTTTGGATAGAAATTAGTGTGTATTGAGAATTCTAGAAATGTTAATATACTCTTCAACTTAGTAGTTATTCTTTTGGAATTTGTTATAAGGAAATAATCAGATATGTACTAAGGTTTATATGTAAGAATGGTCATCAGTGTGTGTATGTGCATGTAGTACAGTATGTGTGTATGTGAGCAAGCATGTGTGACCTGTGGACACATACATTTGGAGACAATCTAAATTTGTCCAGCATTAAATAGGGTACACTCATATATTAAAATATTACATAATCATTAAAAGCTAGATTTAAAAATATAATTTGTAATGACAAGAATAAAACACTTAGGATAAGGTGTAAAAAACAGTATATTAAACTATGTAACTGTATATATTAAGTGTGTCTTCAGTTTCATGTAAATAATACATCTGCTAATACATATATGCTTGCTTCCTTGCTATTTATCTGCATAGGAAAAAGACTGGAAAGAAATGTTAGCAAAAATGTTAGCAACAGTTTTCTTTTATTAAACAGATTTAGTTTATTCGTTAGTTCTTAGTAAGTTTTAGTTTGTTTATGCTCTTATGTGTTTTTCAGATTTTCTATAAGAAGCTTATGCTGGGTTTGTAATCAGAAAAGATAGGTTAGAGACAGTCTGTAGCAGTGCTTACCATGTGGAAGGCATACTCTTCCTTAGGTTGATGCAAAGAAACATAAAACATACTTTGAACATAGAGCCCGAGAAATAATGGGATTATGGATTAGATGAATATGGACTTTCCATTTATTTAGCCTACTGAAAATGAAGGGAAAGCCCTTAAGATTCTTGTGGTAAAATGAGTTAAATGACAAGAACTTTACCCAGTTTTTAAAAAACTCATGACACTTATGACAATCGAGAATGATAAATTCTGAATTATGCCTTTGAAAAAAATGATTTAGTGTTTGATACAGAAGACAGGGAAGATAACTATGTCTCTCTACGGCTTTCAGTGCCAAGGTGATCCAAAATCATGATGTCAAATTTTGCATTGTTCTCACGTATTTGTGGGAACTAAAAATTAAAACAATTGAACTCGTGGAGATAGTAAAAGGATGGTTACCAGAGGCTGGGAAAGGTAGTGAGAGGGTGAGGAGGAAGTCGGGAGTGTTAATGGGTGCAAAAAAATAGAAAGAATAATATGACCTAGTATTTGGTAGCACAACAGGGTGACTATAGTCAATAATAATTTAGCTGTATATTTAAAAAGAGCTAAGAGTATTAAGTGGATTCTTTGTAACACAAAGGATGAAGGCCTGAGGGGATGAATACACCATCTATTATTAAATGACTGTTATGCATTGTATGCCTGTTTTATATCTCATCTACCCTATACATGTGTATACCTATTTACCCACAAAAATTAAAAATTAAATTTAAAAATTCTGCTCTCTTTGGGGAAGGTCTAGTTTAGATGCTATCTAGGTCATAGTATTCATATTTGACATTTACATATATTGCATCGTCATTGTGATCCTGATTTTTCACTATTTTTTTCTCTGACATTTCAAGTAAAATATTCTGTTCTTTCTTCTTTCTGACAGATGAAAATAGATGTTTAAAAGCAAATGCCAAATCATGTGGAGAATGTATACAAGCAGGACCAAATTGTGGGTGGTGCACAAATTCAGTAAGTAAGGTGTTCCTCAAGTCCTTTCCATTTGTTCCCTGGTCATTTAGTGTGGCTCAGTGCTGTATCCTTGGGAAGTACAGATTAATTTTTATGTAAATCAATACTTATTGAATAATGTGACGGTTTGGCGCTATGTAGTTCAACACAGTAGCTGCTAGGCACAGGTGGCTATCGAGGACTTTAGTAAATGAGAATTGCTCTAAGTTTCGGAGATATACAAGATTTCAAAGACTTAGTATTAAAAAATGGTGAAATGATAATTTTTGTGTGTTTAAAAATGTAATGTTATAACATGTTATAAGTGTTTAAATTAATTTCCTCTTTTTGTGTGTGTGTGGCTGCTAAACAGTTATAAAATACATGTATACGTAGCTTATCTTTGTGGCACATACTATATTTTTACTGGAGAACTTTCAAAGAAATCCTAGTTATTTAGTTTGACTGTTTTAGATTTCCCCTTTTTTATGGGGAGGTATAAATTAACCTTCCTAATTATATTTGAGTTAAACTACTAGAATTGATTTGTATCCCAATATAAGTTCTTTGAGGTTAATGAGGGTTTGGATTTTACTCACTTTTGTCATCTCTATATTTTTCCTAATTTGGTGCCTTCCACAAAGCCCACTAATATTCAATGAGTCGATGAATTAATGAATGAGTAAGTCAGAACAGGAGGGAAGGAAAAGTCATTTTGAGGTTGTATAATTTATCACAGGATGGATAACTAATATCAGAAGGTCTTGACTCCTTGGGGTTATTGATTGTGTTTCCATGTAGGCATTTGGGCCCAAATTTCAAGTGACTGTTTTTGTATACCTAAGTGGTCAAGTGTCAGATAAGTCATATGGTTTGACCATATGAAAGAAAAAACGAGAGGTTTTGTTTTTTCAGAATTTTTCTAATGGCACTTTCTAAAAGTGGTATGCTGGGATTACATTGGCAACAGTGGAGGAAATAAGGAGTGTTGTGAGTTTCTCTCAGGCAAGGCTTATGTAACTGAAGGTCTTGGTTTTCATATCTGAAAAATGAGGATGATAGTATCTTTATCTATTGGGACAACAATTAGAATTGATGAACCTAAAGCAGTTTCACTTAATAAGTGGTAGCTGCTATTGTTAACAGCATCCATTGTATGGGGACTGTAGTTTTATCTGTTGTTGAGGGTTATCTTAGCCTTCAAGGTTTGGAGCATAATTCTTAAAATTAAGGCTTTCTGAATATATTCAGTGAAATTTTATTTGGGTGTCATGAACGTAAAGTTTCCTGGATTGGTTAGTATTTAGAAATGTGTAATTCACCAGGATCTTGTGTTTTGGTAGGTAGTAGTTTAGATTTAATAAATTAAAGTGTGCAACTTTGAATTATCTGATTCTTGGTATTCCCTTCCAGTTGTTGATTACATAAATACTCTCATTAGTGTGATGTTTCTCTTAAAAAATCCTGTATAAAAACTGTTGCGTATTTTTTAATTGAAATATCTTCACTTACTGTTATTTTCTACAGGACCATTAAATTGATATTTAATATATAAATGCCATGTGTAATGTCACTGTTTTCTTCCATTTTCACATTTCATGAAACACCATTATTCAAAGTCTTTATGTAGATTTTTAACAGCACTGTTTTTGTATTCACTAAAGTACTTTTCAGTTATCTGATTAAAATTTTATTTCTGCCTAGGTGGTTTGAGGATAGCACATATAAAATATTTGTCATTACTAGAAATTTTACTACTACAAATAGCCATTCATGTGCCATTACGATTCTTATTTTTCTTTTTTGCAATTTGTCTGCCATTAGGACCTTTATTCTTGTCATATAATTACTTACTATTTTGCTTTTGAAATTAAAAAAAAATTATTTACAATAATAGCTAATACTTGAAGTTTTTCAAACCTGTGGGAATACTTAATTTGTGCTAAATTTCATTTTCTTCTTTTTAAAAATGCCGTAATTGAGTTTTTTTAAAGCTAATCTGTTTTCCCTAAACATTGGGTTGTTTGGCATATTGTGATGGGGAGCGAGAGTGCCATGTAATACGAGAGGCTTTGTAAGGATTTTTCTAAAGGAAATATTGGAGAATTGGTCTGATACTTGGGGTATATGTATATCTTATTAGTAGCTATTAACCATGCTCAATTAGTGATTTCACTGAAGAAATTGCTTTTGATTAGATACTCTGAATTACAAGATAGAGCATTTAATATGTACACTTGGGTCAGTTCTGGGAAAGGTATTACTTTCTTGGAAATGATTGTTTTTAAACAAGAATACTTCTTATAGTTTGGATGAAGTGAGCATTTTGTTTCAAAGACAGAATTGAGGTACATTAGATGTGATTTAATGTTTTGCAGCTTAATTGCTTATTTGCAATCATTATGTAAAAAGGTTTGGCCATTATACTTCTTATTTATACCTTTGTTTTATATGTCATTTAGACATTTTTACAAGAAGGAATGCCTACTTCTGCACGATGTGATGACTTAGAAGCCTTAAAAAAGAAAGGTTGCCCTCCAGATGACATAGAAAATCCCAGAGGCTCCAAAGATATAAAGAAAAATAAAAATGTAACCAATCGTAGCAAAGGAACAGCAGAGAAGCTCAAGCCAGAGGATATTACTCAGATCCAACCACAGCAGTTGGTTTTGCGATTAAGATCAGGTATGGAAGCCCAATGCTATGAATAACCTCTGTGTCTGCTTGAGGCATTTGACACCAGCTTTATGCAAGCTCTGACCAGTTTCTGTTGAAGGCTCGTTTTTACATGTGGACTGGCACTCAAAAATATGGACTTGGTTAAATTTTAAAAAACTTTATGCAGATACAACAATTGTGAGACACATATACTTGGAGTAATATTAAACGTTGCCTAATGTTCAAAGTAAATTTTATTAAAGATTCAGAAATTATTTAGATTTAGTGAGTTTTAAAAATGAAAGTGTTCATCCTCTGGTCTAATTACATAATATATTATAAAATGAACATTTTAACCTATTCTTTTTCTTTGTATTTGTTTAGTATTAAGCTGTTAAGGTTTTTGTAATTATGTCTGTCAGTCTCACATCTAAAAATGAATTAAAAAAAAAAAAGGCCTCTTCATCTCTTTTCTGATTTCCAGCCTTTCTTGTCAGAAGAATGGTGAGTGGCCCTGTCCCCTGACTTCCCTCCTGGTCCCTCCTCAGCCAGGTCAGGCCTCACCTCCTCATCCTGCTCCACCATCACCTTCAGCCTGCAGACCCAGGAGACCCTTGTCAGGGCTTTTTTTTTAAAAAAACCCTTCTGTACCAAGTGTCACTTTTTACTTTTTGAAGTGCTCTCCCCTTGATCAGTGATACACTCCTTGTATTTTTCCTTGTGTCCCATCATTGCTTTCCAGGCCCCTTCTTGTGTCTTTCTTCTTTCTCAGTTTTTGTAGTCCACCTGAATGTCAGTTTTCCTCTCATGGCTTTAAAACCAATTGTATGCTGTAGCAACACGGACTTTTTTTGAGCTCCAAACCCATTTCTCCAACTGCGTATTAGAAATCTATATAGAGAAAATTACAAGTTAAACTTTTAATTACATTTTCATCCAAACCTTCTTTCTCCTGTATTTTCTAAGTAGATTACATTAACATCTCTTGTATCTCTCTCGTCTCCTTCATCATCTCTTTCTGGATTTCTTTTGTAGATTAGTCTCTTTGCCTCAGTGATTTATTTTTAAACTTCCTGCCAAGTTTTCTAAAGTGAAAATCGGATCATGTTATTCACTTGCAGAGAGCATCATCCCATTACACACAGAACAGCGTTCACAACCTCAGTGTCTAGGAAGTCAGTTGTACCCTATTTGTGTTCTGCTTTGCCCTCTCCAGACTAATTTATGGTGTTCTATTTGTTTTCTTCTCTTATAAACCGACTTTTTATCTGTCTTCTCTGCTGTGGATTGGGGATGTCTTCTTTATTTTTGCATCCTGAAGTCCTGGTGTTTTAAGTATTTGTTTAATGAAATTGAGTTCATACCCATTGAGTTACTTACAGAATTCCCAGGTTTTTATAAAAATTAGGACATGTTTTATTGTGTTTGCCATGTAAATCACATTTATTTGGTTTTTCTCATTTGCATTTGATTGCCAGCAGGCAAGTTTCATTTTCTAATCTCTTGTCTATTTAGGGGAGCCACAGACATTTACGTTAAAATTCAAGAGAGCTGAAGACTATCCTATTGACCTCTACTACCTTATGGACCTGTCTTACTCAATGAAAGATGATTTAGAGAATGTAAAAAGTCTTGGAACAGATCTGATGAACGAAATGAGGAGGATTACTTCTGACTTCAGAATTGGTAGGAATGTTGGGAATTGATCATTTTTGTTTATGAAGTCTTGGCAATTCTCAAAGGTGGTTTTATATTTTCTTCATTTGTCCCTCACAATATACTTGTGAGATAAACATGCCAGTTTTTAGCCTTTTCTGAGTGGAAACTGATATTATAGTCACATGTTTAGTAATCCTTCTTGCCACCTTGTTCCTCTGTCACTGGGTGCTACTGCTTGACAGATTTTACCTCGTAGATAATGACTTGCATGCTTGTTTTCACAGGAACTTGTTCATTTATCTTATGGCTTATTTTATTTTGAGATGGAATTTCACTCTTGTTGGCCAGGCTGGAGTGCAATGGCACAATCTCGACTCACTGCAACCTTTACCTCCTGAAGTGATTATCCTGTTGCAGCCTCCCAAGTATCTGGGATTACAGGCATCTGCCACCATGTCCAGCTAATTTTTTGTATTTTTCGTAGAGATGGGGTTTCACCATGTTGGTCTGGCTGGTCTTGAACTCCTGGCCTCAGGTAATCCACCTGCCTCAGCCTCCCAGAGTACTAGGATTACAGGTGTGAGCCACCACGCCTGGGCCTTATGACTTACTTTATAAACATGTGTTGAGTACCCAGATTTTATCTAATTACTAATTAGTGTGACTGCACCTGCCTGTATAGCCTGCTGTCACCTTACTTAGACCTGGATTTTTCATGTGATGACGATCTGCTTTCCAAAGTTTATTTTTCCCATTTCATGCATCCTCAGCTTAACCTTGTTTTTGCCTCCTTCTCTCCACTCCTGTTCCTGCAGAGGTTTACCTACAGAATAGTAGAAAGATTTGACAGTCACGAGGCCTATAGCTGCCTTTCAAAAATTAGCTCTATTTTAGTGGAAACAAAAATAGCACTTGCTTAAAATATTCTTTTATTCAGTAAGCATAATTCAAGGACCATGGTAATAGGAAGCTCCTACCAAATTAGTCTTTTTTAAAATGGCCAGGATTCTAGAATATTCATTTCTTCATTTGTTGAACATGCCATTATTGATGGCTGCTGTGCCTAGAAAATGAATGTGAGTTATTTTTAAAGTAGGGAGGCAAAATATAAAGGTTGACTTAGGTCTTAGTCCATTTGCACAGCTGTAAAAAATATTGTAAACTGAGTGGCATATGAAAAACAGAAATTTATTTCTCACAGCTCTGGGGGTGAGAAGTCCAAGATCAAGGCAGATTCAGCATCTGGTGAGGGTCCTCTTCTGGGTCCATAGATGATACCTTCTTGCCATGTACTCACATAGCAGCAGGGGGACAGCAGCTCTCTGGGGCTTCTTTGATAAGGTCACTGTGGTAGTCTATTCTTAACATTACTATAAAGAAATATCTGAGACTGGGTAGGTTAATAAAGAAAAGAGATTTAATTGGCTTACTGTCCTGCAGGCTCTACAGGAAACATGGCACTAGCATCAGCAAGCTCAGAAAACTTCCAATCATGGCAGAGGGCAAAGTAGGGAGCAGGTTTCTCACCTGGTGGGAGCAGGAGCAAGAGGTAGGGGGAGGTGCCATACAATTTTAAACACCAGATCTCGTGAGAACTCACTCACTATGGTCAGAACAGCACCAAGCCATGAGGGATCTGCCCCTATGACCCAGATACTGCTCCCCAGGCCACACCTTCAACATTGGGGATCACATTTCAACATGAGACTTGGGCAGGGACAAGTACCCAAACTGTATCAGTCACTAATCCCATTCATGAGGGTTCTGCCCTCATGATCTAATCACCTCTCAGGGGACCCACTTTCTAATACCATCATGTTGGGAATTAGGTTTTCAATGTAGGAATTTTGGGATAACACAGACATTCAGTCCATAGTCACTTACATGCAGATTAATTTCTTTAAAAATGCAACTCTCGGCCGGGCGCGGTGGCTCAAGCCTGTAATCCCAGCACTTTGGGAGGCTGAGGCGGGTGGATCACGAGGTCAAGAGATAGAGACCATCCTGGTCAACTCGGTGAAACCCCGTCTCTACTAAAAATACAAAAAGTTAGCTGGACATGGTGGCACGTGCCTGTAATCTCAGCTACTCAGGAGGCTGAGGCGGGGGAATTGCCTGAACCCAGGAGGTGGAGGTTACCGTGAGCCGAGATCGCGCCATTGCACTCCAGCCTGGGTAACAAGAGCAAAACTCCGTCTCAAAAAAAAAAAAAATGCAAATCTCTTTCCATCCATCATCCATCCATCCATCCATCCATGACCATTTTTTTCTTTACAGGATTTGGCTCATTTGTGGAAAAGACTGTGATGCCTTACATTAGCACAACACCAGCTAAGCTCAGGAATCCTTGCACAAGTGAACAGAACTGCACCAGCCCATTTAGCTACAAAAATGTGCTTAGTCTTACTAATAAAGGAGAAGTATTTAATGAACTTGTAGGAAAACAGCGCATATCTGGTAATTTGGATTCTCCAGAAGGTGGTTTTGATGCCATCATGCAAGTTGCAGTTTGTGGAGTAAGTGCATTCATTTCCTATGAGGGGATATTGTTTTATGATGTATGTGAATTTTAAGTTTGATTTTACTATGTTAATAGAAAAATTGACCTTAATTTTTATACATTTGATTATCTTAGGGCAGTAATTTAAGTAATCCCATAAATTACCTCTATACAAGTGCTTTGTAAAAGCATATTTAATCCTTATGCAAACCAGGCAGTTAGTTTATTCATGTAGGCTTTTTTTTTTTTTTTTTTTTTTGGGAGACAGAGTCTTGTTCTGTCGCCAGGTTGAAGTGCAGTGGTGCAGTCTTGGCTTACCGCAATCTCTACCTTGCGGGTTCAAGCAGTTCTCCTGCCTCAGCCTCCCAAGTAGCTGGGAATACAGGTGTGCTCCATCATGCCCAGCTAATTTTTGTATTTTTAGTAGAGAAGGGGTTTCACAATGTTGGCCAGCATGGTCTTGATCTCTTGACCATGTGATCTGCCCACCTCAGCCTCCCAAAGTGCTGGCATTACAAGCATGAGCCACCACCCCTGGCCTCATGTAGGTTTTTAAAAGCCAGAATGCTAACCTTTTGAAACAGTGGGACAACCTCACTGTACTGTAGCTGGTGGTCTGGATTTTAGAAAAGCCCAGGTGTCCTAACTTTCTGGCTTTGTACCAGAGATGGAATTGATGTTGTTATCTGAGGCATCACCAGGAACCTTGGAAATGCTCAAAGGGAGAGTGTCTTGTATCATTTTTCTTTGGTCAGTTTTCTTCTCACTGTCTTTGAAAGATACATCTTTCTATTGTGTCTTAGTAATTCAAAGAGAAAGAATTTTTTAAGCCCTTGTTTGTAAGCTATATGCATAGATGTATTTTGAGAAGTGATATAGTACTTGTAATTTTAATTGTAAGATCTTCAGTAGCAAGCCCATCCCTATTGGACTAGTAATTGGCATTTTATGATCCATGTAGCAGCTGCATACTTTGAGATGACACTTTAATGATGTGGCTGAGGCTGAAACTAGAAAACAGGTCAAGTTTGTCCTGAATACCTACTGTTGTCTCATTTTTGTTCCGTCCAGTGCCCCATTCTTTAGATAACCTTCTTTGATTTTAGAGGCCTCTTAAATGGTTACTTTTCAGTCAGTTTTTGCCAAGGTGCTAATTGATACTCAAAATAATAAGTGAAGGAATGTGGATAATAATATTTCTATTGCCATTGATGCTGGGCAATTTACTTAGCCTCTCTAGAGTTGTTTTCTTCTCTTTAAGAAGGGATGATAATAGTGTTTACTTCATAGGGCTCTTGTGAAGTTAAAATGCAGCAATTTCCATAAAGTACCAATGAGTATTCAGGTAATACCGATTCCTATATTGTTGTTACTTTTGACTTTTAACTGGAGTGGTTGCAATTTAAGGTTAGTCCCTGTGTTAAAGCGGAAGCAAGTAGCATTTCAGGTAGTGCCTGGCCTTACAGCTCTTTTCTTACTAGTCATTGATTTGTGAACCTGTTAGCAGCTTGTTTCCAGAGCTTTCTCTGGGCTGCCTCCAGCTAGGCCTTAATCTGTGGAATCAAACAAGCCGTAGCACCCTTGGTTGTGGCTGTTTTTCTTTTTCTTTTTTTTTTTGTTGTTGTGTGGCTGTTTTTCTGTATTGGTCATGCTGGTCCATGTCTCTAGATGCAAAAGAGACAGACATTCCACTTTTGGAAAATTGCCAGTGTTAATAAATGTGATTCCCACCTTAAAGGACTTTACAGTCTTATGAAGGTATAAACAGATATATTAAGTAAATTAACTAAAGAAACTAAATTACTATAATTATAAAATTGCCATAGTGAAAAGAGGATTTTACTGTTACTTTAAATTCTTTATTGGAAAAGGTCAAGAATAAAGTAAATGAGCAGTTAAACAGTACTGATTTGAGGAGTTAGAATGGGGGAAATTATCATTAAACAAGATAATTATTTCTGTTATTAAAAAGGGAAGCCTCATATGGTGGGCTGTTAAAGAAGGCATAGCAGAGATAGGTGGATGGGGACAAGACAGCAGAAGTGGGGTAAGGTAAGGATAGGCTGAGACACATTCATTTATTCAGCAAATGCTCAAGTGCTTACTGCATGCCAAGCAGTGTGCTGACATGCTAGCTCCTCGAGATTTGATGATAAGCACAACAACAACAAAACAGCTTTTAAAAAGAACTGAGAGATACGGATGGCCAGGCAAGATATAGTTGTACATGGGATGGAAGAGCTTCATTCAGTGGGCTTTGTGCATTTCTCAGCAAGATAATTAGTATTGTGTAAAGAGAAGACACCAAGAAAATACAGAATTAGGTTAAAAATACAATGGGGGCCTGTATGAAAATTAAAGGATTTTTGTTGAATTACTGTGAATAGTGTTTTAGAATTAAAATCTTTTTCTTTTCAAGTCACTGATTGGCTGGAGGAATGTTACCCGGCTGCTGGTGTTTTCCACAGATGCTGGGTTTCACTTTGCTGGAGATGGGAAACTTGGTGGCATTGTTTTACCAAATGATGGACAATGTCACCTGGAAAACAATATGTACACAATGAGCCATTATTATGTAAGTGCTTAGTTCCTTACACAGCAGATGTGTTTCTGTTGGATTTTAATGTTTAATACTCAGAGTTTGTGGTGACTGGCTTGGGGTTTCTCAGGGTTTGAGGTTTTTGCTATTTTGCTAAGCAGAGGTCCTGATTAAAAAATCTTGAGACCATAGATGCTGCAGAAGATATGGAGAAATAGGAACACTTTTACACTTGGTGGGAGTATAAATTAGTTCAACCATTGTGGAAGACAGTGTGGCGATTCCTCAAGGATCTAGAAATAGAAATTCCATTTGACCCAGCAATCCCATTACTGGGTAAAATACCCAAAGGATTATAAATCATTCTATTATAATAAAGATACATGCACACATGTGTTCATTGTGGCACTGTTTATAGTAGCAAAGACCTGGAACCAACCCAAATACCCATCAGTGATAGACTAGACAAAGAAAATGTGGCACATATATACCATGGAATACTATGCAGCCATAAAAAAGGATGAGTTTATGTTCTTTGTAGGGACATGGATGAATCTGGAAACCATCATTCTCAGCAAGCTGACACTGGAACAGAAAACCAAACACTGCATGTTCTTACTCATAGGGGGGTGTTAAACAATGAGAACACTAGGACACAGGGAGGGGAACATCACACACTGGAGTCTGTTGCGGGGTGGGGAGTTAGGGGAGGGACAGTCGGGGGCGGGAGGTTGGGGAGGGATAACATTGGGAGAAATACCTGATGTAGGTGACGGGGTGATGGATGCAGCAAACCACCATGGCATGTGTGCATCTATGCAACAATTCTGCAAGATCTGCACATGTACCCCAGAACTTAAAGTGCAATTAAAAAAAAAAAAGAAAGCTCGGTAAAGCTAACATTGCTGTTTGTGAAGATGCGGCTTTGTATTTGCTTCCTTCTGCTCAGACAGGGGCCTCACTGGGGTGGGAAAGGGATGCCTAGATGCCACTTTCACTCCTTGCCTCAACTCCCCTCCACAGCAGTACTATTTCTAAGTAAAAAGCAGAGTCAGTGCTATTTCTGAATAGTTTATCTAGTCTCATACTCATAGATGATTTTTAAAAGCAGTCACTCGGCCTTTATTGAAAATAAATATTGGCAAATCATTCAAGTTCTAAAAGAAATCCAAATGGTGAATCTTGGTCTTTTCTTAAGTTGTAGATAACAGAATATTTAATTATTCTTTAATCTCATTGTCCTTATATTTAATATACATAGATAATTTTACTATTTAAAAATTTTTGAATATGGAAATTTTTGTTCATATATGAAAGTACAGAGAAGAGAATTAACAATTCACGTATACGCACTACTCACTTCAGCAGTTATTTACATTTGGTACTGTTATTTAAAAGCAGTCTTAAAATCATTTATATATATATACTAGTTATATATATGCAGCTAGATGTAGTCTAGCTATATATAGATTACTTATGCAATGTAGTTATACAAAGCAGTCTTGTAATTGAGTTACATATAATCTTGCATGTATGACTAGATTGAAAATTGGAATAGGTTATAAGGGTGTATTTACATACTAAATTGTATTACTTGATTTCTTAGGATTATCCTTCTATTGCTCACCTTGTCCAGAAACTCAGTGAAAATAATATTCAGACGATTTTCGCAGTTACTGAAGAGTTTCAGCCTGTTTACAAGGTAAATGTGTGAGATAAAAATAACAAAATTCTGGCCGGGTGCGGTGGCTCACACCTGTAATCCCAGCACTTTGGGAAGCCGAGGCAGGTGGATCACGAGGTCAAGAGATCGAGACCATTCTGGTCAACAAGGTGAAACCCCGTCTCTACTAAAAATACAAAAATTAGCTGGGCATGCTGGTGCGCGCCTGTAGTCCCAGCTACTCGGGAGGCCAAGGCAGGAGAATTGCTTGAATCCAGAAGGCAGAGGTTGCGGTGAGCCGAGATCGAGCCATTGTACTCCAGTCTGGGTAACAACAGCGAAACTCCGTCTCAAAAAAAAAAAAACAACAAAATTCTAAGTATTTTTTGTTGAGTTGTTAAAGACAAATCATGTTTGAATTGAAATGTGGGAAGATGCCACCAGATAGGCAAACTGGATTTTACAAAAATGGTTTATATTAATTTTTAATCACATATCATAAAACTGGTTTCTAGGTTTCACCCCTAAAGTTGTTTAGGAAACATATGAGAACTGACCTTTAAAGATAAAATTTGCTCAGTAGATGCTAATTGGTTAAATGAATAGTAGTTGTATTTTACATGTTTTATCTTTTAATTGCAGGAACTGAAAAACTTGATCCCCAAGTCAGCAGTAGGAACATTATCTTCAAATTCTAGCAATGTAATTCAGTTGATCATTGACGCATACAATGTGAGTACATCTTAAATAAGATCAGTATACCCTGTTAGGAATACTTTGTTCAAAGAAAGTAAAACTTCGTGCTCACTTTGGTAAACTCAAAGGACTACAAAGAAACTTAAATTCTGTATCTGGAGGAAAAGCTTTATACATGTTGTCTTACAAAAGCAGATTCATAGCCTAAACAAAGCAAAAATGTGATAAAGTCATGTGAGAAATATTTCTAAATATGTTTGTTTATCATTAAGCAAGAAATCTCCTTGTTGGAAAGCAGTTGTAAAACATAGCTTACATTTAAACTTTTACAGGATTTCTCCAATCTTTTTTCTCCCCAAAATATCTTTTATAGAGTCATCTATTTTGATGAACTATGCTAGAAACTTTTTTTCCCCCCAATTCTTCTCTTCTTATATATTCAAAGGATATAGTTTTCTATTTCAGGAAGCATACACATTCATATATACATATACCACTAACTCTGTAAAAATGTAAATAAACATATGATTCACCAGTTCAAAAAGATTTATAGTGTTCTTTTTCTACCCACAGATGGGAGGGTGTTGAATTGAAATTAAAGAGGAATTTGCTTCTCCTTTTTGAACATAATTCAGTATACTTTAATCGTGCCCAGTTAGCCTTAATTAATAATCACTTAAATAATCTGAAGGCAGTTGTAATACTATGGTAACCCTGTGTGTTGCATGCGCCACTTTCAGCCCCCGTCCCTCTAACCCTTTGGCAGCTTGAATTTTAAACATTTTTACCTCATGCCATGGGGTACCATAATGCTTTGGAAAGGCCTGATTCAGAGGGGTTTTTACAAAGGTTTTTAAGATTTCATTTGTTCCACAGATTTTCCATCCTCCCCGGTCTTGGATAATTTTCCTAATTCCTGTCTTTTCAGGGGTATGAACAAGAGATAGCTTGCCACTGCTGCAGCTCCATTTGCCCTGAATAGTTTTATACTTTCAACAAGCCCTGGCTTGAATCCCTCCTTCTTGTGGGATTTTGTTTTTTGGTTTTTGGCTGGGCTACAATGGTTCCTTAAGCAAATTTGTTCCTAGAGTGCATTGTTGATTGTGTACTCTAGTCCATAGTTAGCTGGAGGGGTAGGACCACAGAAACACCATTTTGCCAGTGGGGAAGACAGCATTTATTTATTCCACATTCTTTTTTTTTTTTTTTTGAGATGGAGTCTCCCTCTGTTGCCCAGGCTGGAGTGCACCAATCTTGGCTCACTGCAACCTCTGGCTCCTGGGTTCAAGCGATTCTCCTTTCTCAGCCTCCCAAGTAGCTGGGATTATAGGCGCATGCCACCACACCTGGCTAATTTTTTTTTTTTTTTTTTTTTTGTATTTTAGTAGAGATGGGGTTTCACCATGTTGCCCAGACCGGTCTCGAACTCCTGAGCTCAGGTAATCCATCCACCTCAGCCTCCCAAAGTGCTGGGATTACAGGCATGAGCCACCACGCCTGGCCTATTCCACATTCTTAAGACTCCTCCTAATTAATAACAGCCCTCTGTACTGTGTGATCCTGAGTATTTTAACTCAGTGATTAAAACAGGAATACTCCTTTGAATTGTGTATTTTATTTTGAAGATTGGATCTTTATTAATTAAAACCTGTTTCTCTAGCGTCTGTGTTTTCCAGTTACTCAGTTGGATTTGGCCTGTAAATATTTTATTGAAATAATTCTTTTCTGAGCAGTTTATCCATTGGTTTTATGCATTCAAGTAGCATTTTGTTGACTTTCCTGTATATAATTAGGCATTCTTTTAGTCCCTTTCCTCAGAAGTCATTTTGGAAAACAGCAAATTATCAGAAGGAGTAACAATAAGTTACAAATCTTACTGCAAGAATGGGGTGAATGGAACAGGGGAAAATGGAAGAAAATGTTCCAATATTTCCATTGGAGATGAGGTACGTTGTATAAAGCATTTTCTGTAGAAAAGAAAACATTGCTTATTTATAAGCAAATTTAGTTTATACTTTGAGAAATGTTAAGTGAGAAGCTTTTTAAAATATTTTTAGTAGATTTAAATTGCTTAATTGGTTGTTGATCTTTTTTTTTCCCTTCAAGGTTCAGTTTGAAATTAGCATAACTTCAAATAAATGTCCAAAAAAGGATTCTGACGCCTTTAAAATTAGGCCTCTGGGCTTTACGGAGGAAGTAGAGGTTATTCTTCAGTACATCTGTGAATGTGAATGCCAAAGCGAAGGCATCCCCGGAAGTCCCAAGTGTCATGAAGGAAACGGGACGTTTGAGTGTGGCGCATGCAGGTAAGCTGGTCATTGTCAGATAGTGGAAGAAAGGGCTACATTGGTTTAGAGCATAGAGGCAGGTCATATTTTGGGACATCCAGAGAATATCTCTCTATTCAGAGCAAATGCTTTTTCTAACCATGGTTGCCTGCCACAAGATCAGTTTGATAATCTTATGTGTGATATTTATAGGAATCTCCTTCCTGCCTTTTCTGCTTAATTACTCTTTAAAGTAAAAGCTTTTATAGCCATAGAAGAAGTATATTCAACGAATAGTTAACATAGCATTTCCCTCATGTGAGAGCAATCTGAATTGTCTAGAACAAAATAAGCTTGTATAAAATACATTTATAGAAAAATGTTTTGAAAAAACATCAAACCAATGATAATGATTTCATCTGGGAAATGGAATTATAAAGCAATAGAAGATGTTTATCTTGTACTATATGTACTTCTGTATTGTTGGAATAATATTTTAAAAATAATGTGTTGTAAAATAAAGAGAAAATGGTATTTTTAGCATGTAGAATCTAATACTAAGAAAACTAACAAGATTACTTCAGATTTTATTTTCACACTGTGGTTCCTTTTTTTAATTGAAAAATAAGAACTGAGTATACTTTGAATACAGCCTTCTCCATAAAAGAATAGGAGGAGGGGAGAGTGTTTTAATCCGGTGTCAACCCCAAATGACTAGGCTTAGAAGGGCTATTGAGTTTTTCAGTGTCTGGGCTGAATAACAATTTAAATGTTAGAATTTTTAAATTTTCCATATCTTGTTTGAATCATGCCAGTTCCATTTTTAGTAAAATGTCATTTAACCAAAAAGGTTATCTTGAAAATACTTTGCCTTTCTTTGCTTGTATATTTACTAGATACAGAATCAGTGCATTCAGTGTGCGTGAGCATTATATGTTCTGAAAATACACAGGGATTCTGAAAAGTCTGTACCTGTAGGATACATTTATTTTTAAATGGTATATTATATTTTAAATAGTATACACAGTATGTTTTTTTCAGCTTCTGTACACTTTTCTTCAACTTCTGTACACTTTTTTGCATGTGTTTATTATATTTCTTTAGGTTAATAGATTGTTGTTTTAAATTTAGAGACAGTTCACCTAGAATAGGAAATGTAATAGCATACCATTTAAAAATGTAACTAACATACTCTAAAATTGTTTATTTTGCCTTTCCACATGTGTTGTTCATAATTTATTGCTAGATATATTTTTATCTTCACCAAAGTTGTTACTTTCCTGAAGAAATTTTTTTCCTAGACTCTTGCATATATTCTGTAGAAACTTGAGTGACTGGGATGTATGTGCACGCCTGTGTATTTGTCCTTGCTTGCACATGTGTGTACACTTCACTACACATCTATGATGTGTGGCATGGACAATCCCATCTAATAGATTGGTAGCTCGCAGAGATATTTTTTGTAGTTTTATTTCCTCTCCTAGTATTTCTCTTTTAAATTATTTTTGTTTTGTGTGATTGCAATTGTGGAATCTTTGTTCAGGTGCAACGAGGGGCGTGTTGGTAGGCATTGTGAATGCAGCACAGATGAAGTCAACAGTGAAGATATGGACGCTTACTGCAGGAAAGAAAACAGTTCAGAAATCTGCAGTAACAATGGAGAGTGCATCTGTGGACAGTGTGTTTGTAGGAAGAGGGATAATACAAATGAAATTTATTCTGGCAAATTCTGCGAGTGTGATAATTTCAACTGTGATAGATCCAATGGCTTAATTTGTGGAGGTAAGTAAAGGGCTTGAAGTGGTTGTAAGATGTGATATCTTAAGAGTTTACCTGGTGCATAAGTAAAAACAGGGGTAGCTTGAGGGTCAGCCCTGCCCCTAGGTACACTTTCTCACATGGTGCTTATTGTACTTTTCAGTCAATACTGTGATTGTATATTTTTACCATTATTTTGAGAAATCATATGCTTAATTGCAGGAAATGGTGTTTGCAAGTGTCGTGTGTGTGAGTGCTACCCCAACTACACTGGCAGTGCGTGTGACTGTTCTTTGGATACTAGTACTTGCGTAGCCAGCAACGGACAGATCTGCAATGGTCGGGGCATCTGTGAGTGTGGTGTCTGTAAGTGTACAGATCCGAAGTTTCAAGGGCAAACGTGTGAGATGTGTCAGACCTGCCTTGGTGTCTGTGCTGAGCATAAGTAAGTATTTCCTAATTGCTTGAAATAGTTGATACTTCCTCTTGGCTCTCCTAAGCCTGTATTGTTACTAGAACCAGAACACTGCCAATATTAGATTATAGTATAAATAAAATGCCTGCCATGTGGAAGCCTATTCTTTAATTCCTAAAAGTTCTTTCTCAACAGCTAGTATCTATTACATGGTATGAAGTGTGTCATGTGAGAGTTGTACTATTATTTTGATCTGAATTTGCTAGATAATTGAATTTACATGGTAACCTTTATTAAATTGGCATTACCAGTTTCTTAATTACTATCCTTTGACAAAGCTAAGCCGAATTAAAGATTTTTCCTCTTGAAGAATTATTATACTAGTAACATTATTCAAATTATTATGATTTTGGCCAAGCACGGTAGCTCACACCTGTAATCCCAGCACTTTGGGATGCCATGGCAGGTGAATCACTTGAGGTGAGGAGTTCGAAACCAGTCTGGCCAATGTGGTCAAACCCCATCTCTACTAAAAATACAAAAATTAGCCAGATGTGGTGGCATGTGCCTGTAATCCCAGCTACTTGGGAGGCTGAGGCACAAGAATTCCTTGAACCCAGAAAGCAGAGGTTACAACAGTGAGCCAAGATTGCATCATTGTACTGCCTGGGTGACAGAGTAAGAATCCATCTCAAAAATAAATTACTATGATTTTTATATTATACATTTACTATGTGATAGGGCTAATTTATTTTACTGTCTTTTATTTCTTAATAGGGTTTTAATTTGAGCTATAATTAATATTTTATTATGGAAAGTAGCATATTTTCAAATAATTTCTCCATCCAGAAATGTAATGTGCCTCTTCATTTGCCCAAATCCTCCTTCATAGCTGTTTATTCAATTTGGTCACAAGAGTTTAGCATGAAAAATATGTGTTAGTAAATATTTATTGAAATAATAAAATTTAAATGTAATATATATATATTTTTTTAACAGAGAATGTGTTCAGTGCAGAGCCTTCAATAAAGGAGAAAAGAAAGACACATGTGCACAGGAATGTTCATATTTTAACATTACCAAGGTAGAAAGTCGGGAAAAATTGCCCCAGCCAGTCCAACCTGATCCTGTCTCCCATTGTAAGGAGAAAGATGTTGATGACTGTTGGTTCTATTTCACATACTCAGTGAATGGAAACAACGAGATTATGGTTCATGTTGTGGAGAATCCAGGTATAAATCTAATGATTTCAACCCTTCTTTTCATTTCTTACATCTTGATTCTATGTATTTAGGCCTAAAATCCAGAAACAGCCTCCAGCTGGAATATTTTAGGTTCAAGTTGGGAAATTTTTCATCTCTTGAAGCCTAAAATAGTATTTAATTAACCATACAAGAAATAAGGAAAAGAGAGCTCCAATTTTAAATTTTCTGAGTGGAGAGTTTGAAGATTAAATGCAGTGATCTATGTAAGACACTTAGAATGGTACCTGACACCAGGTGCATAATAAGACTTTTTTATGATTGATGATTTTAAAATTAGAGCTTGATTTAGTCTTGAATACTGGGAAAGATAATTTGCTAAAGGATGTTAATATATAAGTGTTGAATTTGTTTAACTTCTCAGGAGGTGAAACTTTTTTTTTTTAATCTTAGTTTTCCTAGTAGCTTTTTATAGATTCTTTGGAATTTGCTACTTTAGTGTACATGCTTTTGTGTGAACATAAGCTTTCATTTCTCTTGGGTAAATTCTAAGAATGGCATTTTGGAGCATATGGTAAGCATATGTTTAACTTTGTAAGAAGCTGCCATACTCTTAGAGTCTCGTACTGTTTTGCATTATCAGCTAGGTGTTTCGCAAATATTGTCTCCCAGCCTGTGCCTCCTTATCTTTTTATAAGTGTCTTTTGAACACCACAGGTTTCAGTTTTGATGAAGTATGGTTTACCAAGTTTTTCTTTTTGTGAATCTTGCTTTTACATTGTCTGTAAGAACTGTGCCTAACCCAAGATTTTAGAGCTTTTTCTCCTGTGTTTTCTTCTAGAAGTTTATTATAGTTTCTGGTTTCACGTTTAGATCTGTAACTTATTTTGAGTTAGTCTTAGTGTATGGCAAAAGGGTCAGTTTTTTTTTCATATTAGTGTCTACTTGTTCCAGGGGCATTTGTTGAAAAAAGACTGTCCTTTCTCCACCTTTGTTGAAAATCAGGTGACCTTACATGTGTAGGTCTGTTTCTGACTCTGATTGCTGTTCCATGTATCTGAGTCTGTCTGTTAGCTATACCACATGGTCTTGTAGCTTTATAGCTTGTCCTGAAGCAGGTGTCTTCCAACTGTATTCTTTCCAAAAGTGTTTTTGAGACACTTCCCTAGTTCTCTGCCTTTTTTGTAAATTTTAGAATTGGTTTGCTAATTGCTACAGAAGTTCTGCCGGGAATTTGGGTGGGATATCGTTGAGTTTATAGATCCAGTTCAGAAGAATTGACATCTTGACAGTATTAGATTTTGTAATTCATGCACATGGAATATCCCTCCATTTCTTCAGTCTTAAAGATTTCTTTTTATCAGTGTGTAGCAATTGTTAACATGCAGATCTTGCATATATTTTGTTAGACTTATATGTAAGTTTTTCATGCTTCTTCATTTTGTAATAAATGATACTGTTTAAAAATTTCTATTTTCAATATGTAGAAATACATTATATATGTAGAAAAATACATGATTTTTGTTCATTGATCATGTGACCTCCTAAACTCACTTGTTCCAAAAGCTACTTTATGGAGTCTTTGGGATAGCGTGCATTCACTGTCTTGTGTGTTTATTTCTGTATGTTTTTTATAAGATACTGCGCAGCTCTTTGTGGTTGTCGCTGGACTCTGCATGTGTTTGTCCCTTGTGTGCTCCTTACTACCTTCTTATTTTCCAGAGTGTCCTACAGGTCCAGATATCATTCCAATTGTAGCTGGTGTGGTTGCTGGAATTGTTCTTATTGGCCTTGCATTACTGCTGATATGGAAGCTTTTAATGATAATTCATGACCGAAGGGAATTTGCTAAATTTGAAAAGGAGAAAATGAATGCCAAATGGGACACGGTAAGTTACAAAACATCCAAAAACCAATGTGGCTTATAAATCAAATGTAATACTCCTAAGACTTACTTATTAACTGTCAGGCTGATTATTAAATTCCTTTAAATATTTTAGTCCCCCAAAAGTTTCTCATTCAAAGAATTTGCGTTTAATGAAAAACAGGAAGCATCCTAAATATATCTCATTGAAACAAAACATTGATTATAAACACGTATATTCTAGTTACTGTGGCCGGTATTTTTATTTCTTTAATAGTTTTGATCCTAAATCTGCCTTTTCATCTAATGTGAAATAGAATCCTAAATAATGTTACCTGTGTAGCAAGCTATTCAATGGAAAGCTGCTTCTTTCTTTAAAAAAACAAACAAAAAAAGACAAAGAACCTTCAGTGAAAGCCAGATTCAAAAGGTTATATGCCAAGCTTGTCCAACTCGCAGCTCGTGGGTCACATGAAGCCCAGGACAGCTTTGAATGTGGCCCCAACACAAATTTGTAAAGTTTCTTAGAAATTGTAAGATTTTTTTTTTTTGGTGACTTTTTTTTTTTTAAGCTCATCAGCTATCATTAGTATATTTTATGTGTGACCCAAGACAATGATTATTCTTCCAAGGTGGCCCAGGGAAGCCAAAAGATTGGACACCCCTGCTATATACTATGTGATTTCATTTAAGGGACATTCTGGAAAAGCAAAACTATATGGGCAAAAATCAGTTGTTGCTAGGGGCTGGAATGAGGAAAAGGGTTCACCGCAAAGGGCCATAAGGAAACTTCCTGGGATGATCTTGATTTTGGATGTATTTATGTATTTGAAAACTCATGGAACTATGTACTTTAAAAAGGTATATGTTCCTCTATGAAAATTATATCTCAGTAAACCTTGGCTTATAAAAATTTTAAAAGCCCTAAGTGACTGAAAGTTTATGTTAGCATTTAGTGCTTTGAAATATGGAGTCAGTTTCAGCCTCTGTGTATTCATATTTTGATACAAGAAAGCATTGGCAATCTTTAGTTTTTTTAAGTTGTAAATGAATTGTAGTTACTTGCACTTAACTACAGTTTGCTGGAATTTTTTTAAATTATCAATTTTTAAAATTATAAATTTCACAAGGGTAGAAATAGAAAAAAATTCCCTTTATAGTGTTTGAACACTATAAATGTCTATTTTTTTTCTGATGAAATCATTAGAAACTATTTCTTTTACTTTAGCAAGAAAATCCGATATACAAGAGTCCTATTAATAATTTCAAGAATCCAAACTACGGACGTAAAACTGGTCTCTAAATTGCCGTTCGTATTTTCTTTCACTTTCTGCCTTTGCATGTGAACATTTACTTTTTTACTGCACTGTGTGCCCTTTATCACTATTGCTTTTCTTTTAAGTCTGGCTTTATTTATATCGCTATTGCGGCTTTTCTTTTTGTGTGTTAACTTCGTTTTTAGAAAGACTAAAATAAGTAATGTGGTATAGAAACAGCAGCTGTGTTGTAGTGAGAAGAGAATGTGATTTGCAATCAGACCTCAGGTCAAACCCCAGCTCTTCCACTTAGTAAGTAGAACAGCATTGAGCCACTTCACTTCTCTCATCTATCAAAGGGAGTCAGTATTCTGTATTGTATGGGGCAATTGTATTTGGCAAATGCACTCCAGTATATGAAATCAGCTTGTGAGCTCTAATCCTCACAACAATTCTATGCCTAGAATGATAGTATCCTTTTTTCTTTTTCTGTTTTTGGTTTTGTTTTGTTTTTTTGAGACAGAGTCTTGCTCTTTCACCCAGCCCGGGGTACAGTGTTATGATCTCCCCTCACTGCAACCTCTGCTTTCCAGATGCCAGTGATTCTCCTGCCTCAGCCTCCCAAGTATCTGGGATTACTGGTGCCTGCCATCATGCTCAGTTAGTTTTTATATTTTTAGTAGAGACGGGGTTTCACAATGTTGGCCAGGTTGGCCTAGAACTCCTGACCTCCAGTGATCTGCCTGCCTTGGCCTCCCAAAGTGCTGGAATTACAGGTGTGAGCCACTGTGCCCCCACCAGTATTATCCTTAAATAACAAATTGTTAGAGTAAACTTAGGGTTGGGTAGTGAAAACTGATCATGGACTCCAAATTGCAAAATAGAAAATTAAATGTAAGTTGTGTGGTATGCAACTACAATATCATTATTATTGTTTCTCAGAAGATTTGAGATTAATTTATTGAATATAACTTTAAATTTCATTAAAAGCTGGAAGACCATATTATATATATATATCTTTGTATATTATATATATGTCTGTGTCTGTGTGTGTATGTGAGAATGATTCTAATTTTCAAGTGTAAGTTTGAAACTGTTCCTGTCTGAATTTTCATGAAATGCTTCCATCGTATTTCAATATAATCATGCAAGCTCCTAAAACTCAGTGATAACCAAGGTTAATTGTGATTAGAACTAAATTCTCTTGACTGGTGATCGGGAACTCTTCTTCTCTTTCCCAGTTGACTGACTGTAATAGGGCCTGGAAGATTTCCAATTTTCTCACTGCCTACCTTATTTTGCAGATAAAGACGGTGTTGGTAACACTTACATAGAACTCATTGTGTCTCAGGCATGATTGTAAACACTTAATCTATATTTAATCTTCATAGTGAAAGTTGAAGGAATGATGTTTATACCTGTTTTTTTACATATGAGGAAACTGAGACACATAAGGGTTATATAACTTGACCAAATTCACATGGCTAGTTAGTCAGAGAGCTGGGATTTGAACCCAGGCGATTGGGCTCCAGAGTTCATGTTCTTGTCTATGATATTCTACTTGGTAGCAGTTACGTATCTTCAGAAGTCCCTGTTACCTGGTTAGGAAGAGGTAGATCAGTCTTCTTTAGAGATTTACAGAGTTTTGACAATTTGTTGTTCCTCTGTCGGAGTTAACACCACCTCTGTTGGCAAACATCTTAGTAGGGCAGTCACTTGAATACATGGAACCCAATGCCGCAGTTATGCTTATTGACTGTTGGGAGTGTGCTTACAAACGGATCATGAAAAAGAGCCTAAGTACAGGAATGTTTAATAGTTATAAGTGATATAGGAAGTACTGATAATATTAGAAATCATTAACTTGTCAGATTTTTATTTCTAAGTAGACCATAAGACTTTTTAAAGTTAAATTTGATGGCAGAAAATTATATTCAGATTCACATATGGGCAGGGTTGGAGCATATTTGTATTAGTGTGTGATGACATGTTTTTCTTGTTCTCACTTAATACTTTACAGAAAGTCATTTTTAGAGGAAAACTGATTAGTCAATGACATTGCCAGGCTTTTTTTTTTTCTTTTATATTATTTTCTTTAGTTGTAGGAAAAAAAAAATAGTCAAATATTGACAATTTCATGTGGTTATTTTTCACGGGAGAAAAAAATTTCTTTCAGACAGAGAGGTGAAATTTTCACCCTTTCCGTACCTTTAATTGCATTTTGAAGGCCGGGCGCGGTGGCTCACGCCTATAATCCCAGCACTTTGGGAGGCCGAGGCAGGTGGATCACGAGGTCAAGAGATTGAGACCATCCTGGTCAACAAGGTGAAACCCCATCTCTACTAAAAATAAAAAAATTAGCTGGGCATGGTGGTGCATGCCTGTAGTCCCAGCTACTGGGAGGCTGAGGCAGGAGAATTGCTTGAACCCAGGAGGCAGAGGTTGTGGTGAGCCGAGATCGTTGCATCGCACTCCAGTCTGGGTAACAACAGCGAAACTTCGTCTCAAAAAAAAAAAATAAATTGTATTTTGAAGGAAATTATCAGTAAATGTTATTTAAACTTAATGCTTATAATGTATATATGGCTAAAATGTTGTTAAAAGAAGCATTTAATGTAATTCAAGAAGCAAAAGTTTGGTAAAAATTTCTTTGCATTATTGAAGTCCAGGCAATATGATTATTTTTGAGATATTTTCTCAAGAAAAAGTAGAACTTAACTAAGTAAAATTGAAATAAATTAATAAGCATCAAGAAATTATATCATAGATTGTAAAAAAAATTTCTGATATGGACCAAGGTTTGCCCGTCAATTATGTCACCAATATTTTTGAAATATTTCGCAGGCACTAATTACTTTGGCATAAGTAGGAGCGGTAAAAAGAACGTGTCACATTCTCAGCTTCTAACTATTGGAGTGGGTTAAAAAAATTGTCCTCATCTGCTGCTATGCAGGTTTAAATGTGGATCCGAAATCTCCCACAGTTCTGCATTACATATCTAATACATTATAGAAGCTATTGCAGAGTGAGCACAAAGACAACATTTTACTGAGCACTGAGGGCTTCCTTTCGTAATGTAACCCTGTTCTCTTGATTCGGGTTTTGTTGGGGTTGGGTGGTGTTGCACTCTGAATGATGGAAACTAATCTGAATTATTTTAGTTTACCTCCATTTAAAATGATGCCTAATGCAGATAGTGAGCTTAATTTTACATCTAACCTTGCATGTTAAACTTTTGTTTGGATGGACTTTGAAGTAATAAATACAAATGTTTGTGTATATGACAAGATAGATTTTTCTCCAAAGGTAAGTTCTTCCATGTAAATTACACTTTGGACTCAGCTGGGTAGGGCTTTCTTTCTTTCATTATTATTATTATTATTTTGTTCTTCCCTTATAATTCTTGAGTTTTAAATACTAGATTTAGCAAACACATTATTTTAAAGAAACTTAATTAGATAATAATTTATTTTTCCAACATGTTTGAAGGACCAAATAGCACTTAGCCTCCAATCAGATAGGATATAAATGTGGAGCCTAACTTATTTGTGCTCTGGCTTTTTAAGATGGTAGTTGCAAGAATCCAGTTTTCTGACCCCCATTTTGAAATGTCTGTTGTCACAACTGTATAATGTATTAACTTCAATTGGGACTAGAGCTGAGAGTTTGCACAATTTTGTCATACACATTATATGCTGTTTGTCTCTGAGGGATCCTGAGTTTCTCCATGTTTCTGAAACAACCGATCAAGGTGTATATTGAGGAGAGGGGACTGAGGACTGAGGCATGTTGTCGGGTTCTGATTGGTATCACACAAGCTGCTGAGCTGAAATCACAGTGGTTTATTTGGTGTCTTGCAGAAGGCAGCTACGCAAGTGTCTGGCTTTTTCCTTCATCCTGTAGGTGGAATACTATTTTTCCCTCAGTGGTATCCCACCTGCAGGATGAAGTTCAGATTTCACAGCAAGGCTTCCAGGGCCATTCTTTGGTTGTCTCCTCATCTCAGATCATATGCCCCCTGACTCTTTTTCCTTTTTTTTTTGAGATGGAGTCTTGGGCTGGAGTAGTGCAGTGGCACGATCTCAGCTCACTGTAGTCTGTGCCTCCCGGGTTCAAGCAGTTTTCCTGCCCCAGCCTCCCAAGTAGCTGGGATTACAGGCACCTGCCACCATGCCTGGCTAATTTGTTTTTTTAGTGGAGATGATGTTTGACCATGTGGGCCTGGCTGGTCTCAAACTTCTGACCTCTAGTGATCCACCCGCCTTGGCCTCTCAGAGTGCTGAGATTACAGGCATGAGCCAAGGCACCAGTCCTTCCCTAAGTAAAAACTGTGAACTGTGTATATTTCTACTTAAAATGTCCCATTCTTTTCCCTACACCTTAACTTTGCATAGATTCCTATGTATCAACCAGTAGTTTATAGTCAATTTCATGATGAAAATATCCTTAATTTTCTCAGATAAAATTAATCACTTTTTTTCTCATACTATTCTGAGATTATGTTCGTAACTCTGTTATGTACTATATCAGAGTGCCTTATTTTCATGCCTCTCACTTTCCTTGAGGGCAGAAATTGTGGCACCTAAAGGCCGATCCAAATACAGTCTGCATTGAAGTATGAATAAAATTTAAAAACAAAAATTACTTTTAGATCAAAAACTGCTTTTAGATGCTTTCTATAAATATTTTTTAATCATCTGCCATTGGTTCTGTAGTGAGATATAAAACGAAACAACATTTTAAAACCTTAATTTTTACCTAAAAAATGTTTCCCTGATAGTTAACAAGTATTTTTGATTTGTACTCAGGTAATTTTCTCTGATAAAGTGTCATTTGGTCACACGTCTCATTTGGCTTTCAAGCCTGCTTTCAATTTATATGAATTGGAGAAAAAAGAATGCTATAGCAAATATTTAAATGTAGCACCTATGGTATATGATAATTTTTAAGGAAAATGGTGATACGGAATTACATGTTTTTTCTGCTTAAAACATCACTGTCAGTATAGTTTTGGATCTTGAAAGATCCCTTGCGTTTACGGCTCGGGTCTGCCTGCTGGGCTTGACTGCAGACCTGTTAACTATATTACAGCATTGCAGTAAGACATTTCACCAATATGATATTGAAGCATAACAGTTTTTTCATAAGGAATGTTAATTATCTAGCATTCTAAGCAAATTTGGCAGTGTGACTTCATGGGGCTCAGTTCCATTCGTGACACAATGACAGCCTTACCTGATAATTCTCTAAATTGGTAACTTATGTAGGAGACCCCGGAAGCACACCTCCCTCCCAGCATGAAAGCCAAGGATTCCCATTTTGATTAGCAGGCGCCTTCTGTACACAATAAAGGGATAAGAATCAGGCAGTGATGACAGCGGAGCTGATGCTTCCTTCAGGCAGGCACTACAAGGTAGTTGAAAGGAGAAAATCCACGATGACAGCACATTCTGTTCCATGGAGAACTTTCTTAAATCAAGCCACCAGTGGAGGAAGGACTCAATAATGAAATAGTACCAGATAACAGGGGCATCATTTGGTTTGTAAAGCAAAGCTTCCATTTTCCATTTTTATATATAAGCTACTATTAATGCCTTTGAGACAACTGTGATATCTGGACAGATAAAATAGAAATGACTTCTTAAAATGACTGCAACTTTTAGACTTTGTTTATAAAATTATGCTTCATGATTTTAGTAGAGTCACTCATAATTTTTCTCACTTTTTTTTTTAGGGTGAAAATCCTATTTATAAGAGTGCCGTGACAACTGTGGTCAATCCGAAGTATGAGGGAAAATGAGTACTACCTGTGCAAATCTCACAACACTGAATACAAAGTAGCAATTTTCATAGTCACAGTTAGGTAGCTTTAGGGCAATATTGCCATGGTTTTACTCATGTGCAGGTTTTGAAAATGTACAATATGTATAATTTTTAAAATTTTTTTATTATTTTGAAAATAATGTAATTCATGCCAGGGACTGACAAAAGACTTGAGACAGGATGGTTATTCTTGTCAGCTAAGGTCACGTTGTGCCTTTTGACCTTTTCTTCCTGTACTGTTGAAATCAAGCTCTTATTGGATTAAGTGATATTTCTATAGCGATTGAAAGGGCAATAGTTAATGAGCATGATGAGAATTTCTGTTAATCATGTATTAAAACTGATTTTTAGCTTTATAAATATGTCAGATTGTAGTTACGCAGAATCCAAAGTAAATGTCCTGCCAGCTAGTTAAGGATTGTTTTAAATCTATCATTTTGCTATTTGCCTGTTAATCATGACTGATGACATATCTGAAAGACAAGTACGTTGAGAGTTTCTGCGTAAAGTAGGTTTGAAATAGTCTATCTATGAAGGCCATGGGAAAAATTCAGAGAGTTAGGAAGGAAAAACCAATAGCTTTAAAACTTGTGTGCCATTTTAAGAGTTACTTAATAATTGTTAACTTTTATGCCTTCCCTTTATGAATTCAAGCCTTAGATAAAAGTACTGAGCATTTTCCTGCTAAAAAGTCCTTGATTTAGCACTATTTACATAAAGGCCATACTTTACAAAGTATTTGCTGAATGGGGACCTTTCGAGCTGAATTTATTTTATTATTTTTATTTTGTTTAATATCGGTGCTTTTTATCACCTAATCTTTTAATGTATTTGTTTGCAAGTTGGGGGTAAGACTTTTTTTTAGCAGTACTTTTTCTTTGACGTTTTAGCTGTAAATTTGCCTTTTTAATGAACATGTGAAGTTGTACCATGGCTTATGCAACAGCTATCACTTATGCGAGTCTTACTTCGAATTAGTGCCATAACAGATCATTGTGTGTTTACTTCTCATCATTTGAGTTGCCCATCTTGTTTCATACTAGTTATATTCTTGTTTTAAGTGCCTTTAGTTTTAATAGTTCACTTTTTACAGTGCTATTTACTGAAGTTATTTATTAAATATGCCTAAAATACTTAAATCGGATGTCTTGAGTCTGATGTATTTTGTCAGATTGTGTGCCTGAAACTTTTGTAGATTAAAGAAGTTGAGGAAAAGCATTTCTGGTTGGTGGGTATTTCACTTAATGGAGCTAAAACATAATTCTTTCAAAAAATGTACTAGGGACATGAGGAGAGTGGTATGGTAAAATACAGACTTGAAGACTGTCCTTGGGCTCTCTGTGTAATGTGGATAGATCTTTATCCTGCTGTGCTGGGAGGTAGGTTTCATCCTGATATTAAGCAGAATTAACTTTATGAACATCATCATAGCGCTGTTAGTAGGTGCTGGAAATTGTATTATTTTGTTTAAGATTATATATAGGGAATTGTTAACTTTTCTGATAGGAAAATAAGGAAAAATGTACTTTTATTTGGCTTTGGTTTGTGTTTGAAAGGATATACTTATAGTACTTGTGTAAAGCTTATTAGAAGAAATATATGCTCCTTTCTTGAGCATACAACAAACGGCAGAAATATTTGGAGGAGAAAATTTTCAGCCTTACTAGCCTCATATTTATAGTCTTCCTTCACATCCTGTTAATTGATCTTCTTTTACTCAATTTAAATGTGATTCATTGCTTAGACGAAAGCTTCGAGGTGAGAATTACACATTTTTACTAGTTTGTAAGATCCATGAAACATTATCTTGTTCATGTATTTATCACCCCATTTCATCTTGTTTACCGCCATCCATAATTCCACTTAGCTTAACTCATTTCCTTATGCCTAAGGCATAATCAATAAAGTTGAATTGCATATTTCTGCTCCAGAACTCTGCTCTTATAATGATATTTTTAAAATATATTAGAACAAAGTAACAAAGTCTGTCCTCTATATGTACATAATTTATTTTTTCCTGATGTGTTCGAGGCTGGAATATGGTGAATTTTTAGATTTTATATTACAGTTTATAGCAGAGAGAGATTTTCTAACTATAGGAATCCCTTTGTTGGAAGCTGGAGGAATTGTATACAAATTCATTCATGCTGACCATGAGAACATTAACATTTGAATAATTCTAGGCTTGAAACTGGACAATTTCAAAATATAGTCTAAGCAGCTGATAATAGTATATCATCTATCTCTATATATACACACACCACATATTGAGATAACTTGATTGAAGCCACATAGGACTTTGTCACTAAAATAATTTATTTTCCCAGCAACAGCACATTTTGATCTCTAGTGAAACACTTTCCAAAAAGCAAGAGTCCAGGAAGCAAAATAATTAGATTTTTTTTTCCATTTAAACTATACTTTAGAAATTTACAAAATGTTAAGTATCATGAGTACATTATTTGGCTAATGCCAAATAGTGGCATATTTTGTAGTCATTTCATGAAATTTTACAAAGTTTTCTTACTCTTCTGCAGGCTTACTTTATGAATTTCCTTAATATAGACACCTAGGTAAGACCTTGAGCCACAAGAACAGTTCATAAGGCCACTTAAAAAGTCACTTGTAGTCAGCTTTTTATTTTAACCTGGATTTTTTTTCTCTCTTTTGCCCACTACAGTTTGAGAGGTAACCTCAAGTAGAGGCCATTTGTCTTTAGTTTATTCCTTGGAGGCTTAATGTTTAAAAGTTTTTAAACATTCGTTTGTATAGATCCCAGGGGTACATGTGCAGGTGTGTTACATGGACATATTACATAATGGCTCTTGGCATACCCATCACTGCAGTAGTGAACATCATAGCCAACAGGTAATTTTCCACCTTTCACCCTCCTACTACCCTCTCCCTTTTGGAGTCCCCAGTGTCTGTCCTTTCCCTCTGTATGTCTATGTGTACCAATTGTTTAGCTTCCACTTATGAGGGAGAATGTCTGTTACTTGATTTTCTGTTTCTGAATTATTTCACTTAGGGTGGTGACCTCCAGCTCCATCCATGTCACTGCAGAAGACATGACTTTATTAAGGCCTAGATATTTCTGATCTGATACGCTTAAAGAAGTTCAGAAACAGAATGAGTATCTCCAGGACTCCTTTTGAGCCTAAAAAGATTCTTCATTGGCTCTTTAGAATTTCTCTCATGAATCAGGATTCTTCTGAGAATTTAGGGATAGGTGGAAGTGGCTTCTCAGTGATGAGTGGGAGCAAATTCTCGAGCTGGATTAGGTCTAGATTAAGTAGCCCAGCAAGGCTCCACTGCTCTGAGGGTGGTAAGTCATCTAAGTGTAAACCTTTAGGGTACAGAAATGCAGGAGAAGCATGAGACAAATATTAAGCCCACTGATAATGGCAGTTCTTACCTTCATTTGCTTCTACACTTAAGTCTTCACTGGACTTTTTATTACCCTTTTAATTCTTTAAGGGTATAGAGTTTCCATAAAAAGTCATCAGTGATAATGTATTTAATTTTATTTGGCTTTCTACTTATTCTGGATTCTAAAACACACTCATACAAACAGGTTACTTATGGATCACTTTGAGATAGAAAACACTATTCAGAAGGTTTAAATCTCAATTTAATCCATTTCTTTATCACAAGTTTACAGGAGACACAGCTATCTTCAGTTTTAACTGCAATAGTTGATATATTGACTTTACCTGTTGAAAACCTATATTGCTGACTAACCAAAATTATTCCTGTGAGATAGATACAGAAACATTGATTTTCTACAATAACCACTGACCGGTCCCTCGGCAGCCATTTTATTGTATTATTGTTTTTTCTCTTTTCTTTTTTTTTTTTTTAATTGCATATTAGGTTTTGGAGTACATGTGAAGAACATGCAAGATAGTTGCATAGGTACACATGTAGCAGTGTGATTTGCTGCCTTCCTCCCCTTACCTATATCTGGCATTTCTCCCCATGTTATCTCTCCCCATCTCCCCACCCCCTGCTGTCCCTCCCCATTCCCTTCAACAGACCCCAGTGTGTAGTGCTCCCCTCCCTGTGTCCATGTGTTCTCATTGTTCAACACCCACCTATGAGTGAGAACATGCGGTATTTCATTTTCTTTTCTTGTGTCAGTTTGCTGAGAATGATGGTCTCCAGGTTCATCCATGTCCCTACAGAGGACACGAACTCATCATGTTTGATGGCTGCATAATACTCCATGGTGTATATGTGCCACATTTTCACTGTCCAGTCTATCATTGATGGGCATTTGGGTTGGTTCCAGGCCTTTTCTATTGTAAACAGTGCTGCAGTGAACATTCATGTGCATATGTCCTTATATTAGAATGATTTATAATCTTTTGGATATATACCCAGTAATGGGATTGCTGGGACAAATCGAATTTCTATTTCTAGGTTTTTGAGGAATCGCCACACTGTCTTCCACAATGATTGAACTAATTTACACTCCCACCAGCAGTGTAAAAGTGTTCCTATTTCTCTACATCCACTCCAGCATCTGTTGTCTCCAGATTTTTTAATGATTGCCATTCTAACTGGTGTGAGATGGTATCTCAATGTAGTTTTGATTTGCCTATCTCTAATGACCAGTGATGATGAGCATTTTTTTCATATGTTTGTTGGCCTCATGTATGTCTTCTTTTGTAAAGTGTCTGTTCATATCCTTTGCCCAGTTTTGGATGGGCCTGTTTCTTTTGTTCTTGTAAATCTGTTGTAGTTCTTTATAAATTCTGCATGTCAGCCCTTTGTCAGATGGGTAAACTGCAAAAAATTTTTCCCATTCTGTTGGCTGCCAATTCACTCTAATGACTGTTTCTTTTGCTGTGCAGAAGCTGTGGAGTTTGATTAGGTCCCATTTGTCTATTTTGGCTTTTGTTGCCAATGCTTTTGTTGTTTTGGTCATGAAGTCCTTGCCTATTCCTATGTCCTGAATGGTTTTGCCTAGATTTTCTTCTAGGGTTTTTATAGTGTTAGGTCTTATGTTTAAGTTTTTAATCCATCTGGAGTTAATTTTAGTGTAAGGTGTCAGGAAGAAGTCCACTTTCTGCTTTCCGCACATGGCTAGCCAGTTTTCCCAACACCATTTATTAAACAGGGAATCTTTCCCCCATTGCTTGTTTTTGTCAGGTTTATTCAAGATTGTATGGCTGTAGATATGTTGTGTTGCCTCCAATGCCTCTGTTCTGTTCCATTGGTCTATATCTGTTTTGGTACCAGTACCATGCTGTTTTGATTACTGTAGCCTTGTAGTATAGTTTGAAGTCTGGTAGTGTGGTGCCTCCAGCTTTGTTCGTTTTGCTTAGAATTGACTTGGCTATGTGGGCTCTCTTTTGGTCCCATATGAAGTTTAAGGTGTTTTTTTCCAGTTCCGTGAAGAAGGTCATTGGTAGCTTGATGGGGATAGCGTTGAATCTATAAATTACTTTGGGCAGTATGGCCATTTTCATGACATTGATTCTTCCTAACCATGAACATGGAATGTTTCTCCATCTGTTTGTGTCCTCTCTGATTTTGTTGAGCAGTGGTTTGTAGTTCTCCTTGAAGAGGTCCTTTACGTTCTTTGTTATTTGTATTCCTAGGTATTTTATTCTCTTTGTAGCAGTTGTGAATGGCAGTTCATTCTTGATTTGGCTCTCTTTAAGTCTGTCATTGGTGTATAGGAAGGCTTGTGATTTTTGCACATTGATTTTGTATCCTGAGACTTTGCTGAAGTTGCTTATCAGTTTCAGGAGATTTTCGGCTGAGACGATGGGATCTTCTAGATATACAATCATGTCGTCTGCAAATAGAGACAGTTTGGCTTCCTCCTTCCCTATTAGAATACCCTTTATTTCTTTTTCTTGCCTGATTGCTCTGGCTAGAACTTCCAGTACTATATTGAATAGGAGTGGTAAGAGAGGGCATCCTTGTCTAGTGCCAGATTTCAAAGGGAATGCTTCCAGTTTTTGCCTATTCAGTATGATATTGGCTGTTGGTTTGTCGTAAATGGCTTTTATTATTTTGTGACACGTTCCATCAATACCGAGTTTATTGAGGGTTTTTAGCATAAAGGGCTGTTGAATTTTGTCAGAGGCCTTCTCTGCATCAATTGAGATAATCATAGTTTTTGTCT